TTTCTATATTATTAACCCTTTCTAGGTTCTTACTTATAGTCTTTTAATATATATCCTAGTTTCCTATAATAGAAATATAACTTATTATATTATTACTATTCTCTTTCCTTATTAGAAAGTACTATCTATTAAGTTATATCTAACTCTATTAATTATAGTCTATAAGRATCTAAATATCCTTAGCTCTATAGYTAAGCTAGCCTYYTATTATTTAATTAATARTTTATAGTATAYCTATTACTAAAGCTATTCTAGTTACTTTAGTCCTTTCTATATATATAGAAATCTTATAATTTATTATTAATTTTAACTACTTATTTAATTATTCTACTAAGCTTATCTAGTTATTTTATCTAGATTAACTTTTTTTAGATATCTAGCTTTAAGCCTTCTTTAAATTATATAATATTTATATCCTTATCCTAATTTAAATAGAATATAATCTATTAGAATTATAATATATATTCCCCTATAGATCCTATCTACTTAAGCTACTATAGCTATCTCTTAGCATTATACTCTTTATTAATATTACTAAAAGTATTCTCTAACCATTCCTTAAATATATTATAACTAGTAAATATCTTATTAGTCTTATTAGCTTAATTATCCTCTTTATATTCTTGATAATCCCTAATAAAAGGTTTAAACTAATTAAACACTAGTCTAGTTAGATAGGTTACTATAAGTAAAACCCTCTCTACCTTAGTAGTAAGCTTCTTCCTATTTATATAGATATATATATCTAACTATATAAGAAATACTCATAGCTTAGACCTATTTCTATTAAATAGTTCAGATGGTCTGACCTTAATAGACTTAGCTATAAATTAACCTTCTAGTTATTAGATATATTCCTAGAGCTATTTCACCATTCCTATCAGACCTTTAACTATAATTAGAGTTGCATTTGGTGCGAGTTCGGGCGAGTTCAACCTCAGTTGGAACCGAACCGTTCAGTGATCTTGGCACTGTTTTGCTTAGTAATCCCTAATTTCTAGGATTTCCCTAGATATTTTGGTATCACTAGATAGCCCCTGATTTAGGCTATCTAAATATATAAACATTAATTCAAAATACCTAGTGGTTGCTGAGATATAAGGGAATAATCATCTCTGTCATGGGTTGGTATGGAAGTGGTGGGAATATATATATATATGTGACCGGCCTTTGACAACCATCATAACTTTTAAATGATTTTTAACCACCACCCATTCAGCCCTATAGATATTAATTTGATATTTTAGATTTACATTAATATGATAATAATTACCATATATTTCATATAAAAATTATGATTTTATATAAACCTATTTAGTAGGCTTAAGGCATAGGCCTAAGGTAGGAGAAATTGAATTCTAAAAACCATTAAAATTTTTAATTCTGCAGGGCCCTACCGCCCACCTAGATAGGCTAGTGACTGCCTATCTAGGCCTAGTGGCGGGTTTTGCGGTTAAACTCGCACCAACCCACTCAGGGTTGGATTCGATTTTTGCGGTTCGGTTATGCAACTCTAACTATAATCTGAGGTTATATAGGTATCTGCTGCAGTGCTGCCCTCCTAATATTTAAGCTAGTAGGGGTTAGTGCATTTCCTGCTATAATATTTAATATTAAGAGTTAATTAAACTTCCTAAAGTAATTTATACTATATAGTATTTAATTTATCATACCCTAGGATCTATCTCTGCTGTTCTCTACTAGTTAACTACTTTAGGAATAAGATGATATAGTCCCTAGACTATATCTAATACTTACCTAAGGCCTACCACCCTGGTAGCCTAATAATGCAATGATATAATGACCTTATAAAGGTTAAGGATAATCTAAAGGTAATATAAGAATAATAATAGTAGAGATAGAAGTAAGGCCTATTAAGTATATATACTTAATAGTAAGAGAGTAACTAATAAATTAGACTAGTGAACTTATACTTAAGTAAGTTATTAATATTAAATATAAGGAACTAAACTAAGAGTACTAGATATAATAATAATAAGTATCCTTATATATCTATAGTTCCTCTATTAGTAACTCTATTTATAACTCCTATTACTACTTCTATAGTTACTATAGAGTAGATTATAGAGTAGCTTACTACTCCTTATCTTAGCATAGTCCCTTCTCTAGGGTAGTCATCATATATTAGTTTAGGCTGAGATAGGTATCCCTGGTGTAATTATAAATTATTCCACCCAATAATTCTGGTACCTAGAATCAGTTGGCTGTGGTTCCCTTCTCTAATTCTGCCCATCATATCCGCTTTGCGCTAATGCGGCTGTGTCATAACAAGTATTAGCTCCCTATAGCTTAATCTATCCCACTTCCATCTAAATAATAAGTAGCACGAGAGTTTTCTCCTCCTTATATCTCTATAATCCTCTAAATCCTCCTATAGCTGACAACAAATGTCACATATTACAGAAGTAAGAAGAGTTATGCTTTAACTATTATAATTACTCCCAGATTTCCTGCAGTGTTTTCATATTTTTTAGGTAGAGAGGAGCTATTTCTATCTTATATAAACCTATTAAGATAATATTATAAGCAACACCTTGCGCCTGGTGGAGTCAATATCCTTAATATATTCTAAGTTATTATAACACTATTAAATAATATCTTTATCTGGTATTCCACCATCATAAAATAAATAAGGGCATGTAGCCCAGAGGTCTACGCAGGTCTTAAGGCATCTAATATTATCTAAACTCAGAGCCCAATGCTTTGTAACAGATGCAAGAGCCTGAACTTGATCATTAGAAAGTCTTAATTTATTATAAGAAATAAAGTTCAAAAACCAGTCTTATCACTCAGAAATTAGGTAATCAGCCCTAGATGGTCTGCTGAGCTTTCTGATAAGGGCCTAGTGAAGAGATAAAAGCTAGTCTTCTGATTATGAAATATGCTTTAAATAATCACTAACTACCTATATCAGCTAATAATCAGCAGAGTAATACACTTAGAGTGAGCAGAACTCACAGCATCTCCTATAGCATGAGTAAGTGACTTAAGCTCTAAAATCTTGGAGGAGATGGCCTGATTTAAATTTTTTAAAGACTCTTCCTCGCCGGCCATAGTAGAAGATGGGGAGTCAAAGGAAGTTAAATGAGAAGACTGTCATTACTGGGGTAGTCATCTTGGCTGGCAAAGTCATGCCTGCGAGAGGGGTCAGAAGAGTAGAATAGGGATTATGGCCGTCGAGCATAACCACTTGAGTGGTCAATGTCTATCGCGATAGACATTGACCACTATGCAGCAGGCTTGTGTGCTGAGGCAATACAGCCTTGCACGCCACAACATTGTGAGAACTAATGCAGATTTCTGGACATGCCATTTTGTTGGAGGTGCATGAGGTGAGGTGAAATGATTGATTGTATGTGGGTCCACAATGTCTCAGGCATCCAACCTACTATGCCTATGGCGGACTATTTTTACAAAAGGGACTTTGGATTTTTTTTACTGTTTGCCGCATGTATTACCTATTGCCACTACCTCCACACAACATTAAAAGTTTATCAATATCGAATTCTCATATACTAAGGATATCGAATCGAATAGTATCAATATTGAATTGAATTCTCATATAGTAAGGATATCAAATCAGGACTGTTCTTTTTGCTCCCTGCCTAATATTATATGGTCAATACAATGAGGGAAAGCCACAGAATGGAATTTTCTTTGGAAATGAACAAGGTTACCTTTTGATGTTACCCTGTAGGAGTCTGTTTTCCTATAACTGGAGGACTCGTCCTGGATGGCTTTTAATGGCAAGGGTGTGAAGATATGGAAGATCTAACTTTATATATATATATGTGTCCCTTAGTCACAGGTAATACTATAATATGACGATGAGCTCCAGTAGGACTTTACTGGACGCAAGGAGAGCTCCAGTAGTTTATTTGCTAGCTAGTATCTTTTTGTAGGTGGATAATATCTTATATTATTTTCTACTTATAGAATGGCTGTTCTTAACGTGCTGTGTTACTGTGCTGGCTAATATCTGGAAAAGGAGGTTGATGGGGAGAATCTTTCTATTACATCAGAGTCAGCGGCAAAATTCTTCCATATTAAGAATAAAGATGAGGAACCTTTATTAAGATGCTTAGTAGAATGGTACAAGCCTGCCACAGGTATTAAGAGCTTATGCCAGTGGCATTAATAGATCATAAGACAGCAATAGAAGGAGGAAGTTTGAGCTAGAGAAATAGGACTTAACTAAAAGAAACATGTAAACAGTCTCTCTGTGGTCGGGGAGGGAGGTCTCAGCTGCCAGAGTGGTTAGTACATGCTTAGTAAGTGCATAGTGAGTGCTTAATAAGTGCCTGGAGTGCTCAGGGCGCTGTCACGTGTAGCCCTGATAAAAGTGGCAGCACCTGTATCAGGCAATTAGATGGGAATTGCAGAAAAAACTGTTCAGTTATAGACTACTAAGCCACAAAGTGCCGACCCACAGAGCAGTATTTGTTCCTTGCATCATTGCCGGGATCCTACCATCACCCACTGACCAACATCTATCTAGTTATCAAAGGTCATGTCTCTTAATCATCAGTGATTGATGCAACAAAAGAAAGTACTATGAAGTTGATCACTGTCTGAGAGGTATATTGAAAAGAAAAGAAGGTTCTAATAAGGCTAAGCAATCCTCTGCAGGACTGCAGATCTGAGGCATTTGTGAAGCTACATACACAGCCACTATCAAAGGCCATCTAATTCCCCCCAGACTGTCGATGGCATCTCCTGCTCTGAGTTCCAACCAAAACCTTAATCCAAGTCCTTGTCACTTTTAGAGGGATCTCTGCAAGAGTTGTGTAATTGTTGTTCATGAATTGACCTCAGCTTGTCCCGCGTTTATTGACCAACGTCGGAGGACGTATCCGTTGATCACTTGAACATGCTGATGATCGGCCCCAGTCTACTGAGAGAGTGAGAGCTCAGTCATCAACTTCTGACAGCCCACTGACTGGGAAACGCGGGGTTCGACTGAACTCGTTGATCCTACCATGGCGTCGCGAGTCAGTTCGCGCCAGTCGGCAAGCTCCTCACAGTACTCACAGACTGATGAGCCAGACACGAAGAAAGAGCAGGAGAAATGGAACCTTTTCCGTATGTTCAAGATTGGATGGTCCAGGTTGGATCTGGATCGACGAACGGTCATCTTGATGATGAAGTGAGTAATTGCAATTGACTCTACCTGTTGAAACTCACAAGGTGTTAGGGGTGCTCTACCACCTGCTATTGCCATAGCCATGTAAGAAATGTCCTCAGTTCCTCACATTACATCGCTAACAACGAACAGGTTTCAAGCCGATTCTGTCGCAGCACGGTTTAGCACTACCGGTTATCTCATAGCAATCATCTCTGTTCTCGGATTTGCCATCATGCCACGGGCCAAATTCATCCAGATGATGATCTTGGACGTGCTGGCGGTCTGTGTCGCAACGGCCTTCGCTCTGCTTATGATGTTCTGCAGCGTGAAAGCACGACAGAACAATCAGTCTGCTGCGGACGCGGCCTCTGTATCGAGTTCGGATCCGACAGCCAACGAGTACAATTCATCCGCCTCCGCCGTGAGTGGCGTGCTGCTGTTTTTCCAGATATACCTGGTACACTCGTTTCGTGCCCACTATCAACAGTTCCAATTTCCGGTGATCATCTATGCCATAATTGCCAATATCACCTCGTCATATGCCCCTCGGATCCCCACCATGGCCGCCGGTATTGCTTTGGTGAGGACCTTGCTCGAAGCATGTTTGATCGGGCTGGGAATCTGTACGGGCGTTTCCCTGTTTCTCTATCCTGTGACCTCAAGGCATAGTGTATTCAAAGAGATGGCGAGTTATATCGGAAGTCTTCGCGCAGGTCTCAAGGCTCATACAAAGTACTTTGAGAGTCTGGAACGCGACGACATGTTTGGCCGGGCCGAGACATATGACGAGACAGTCGAGAAATATTCCAAGAAGGGCAAGGTCTATAGCCCAGAAGCAGAAGCTATTCGAACTGCGGTCCAGAAGATTACGGACCTCCATGGCAAACTGCACGCGGACCTAACCTTCGCGAAGCGCGAGTTCGCCATTGGAAAGCTCGGTCCTGACGATCTCCAAGCCATCTTCAGACATTTACGCCAGGTGATGATTCCAGTTGTCGGTCTCAGCTTCATTGTGGACATTTTTCAGCGTCTCTCGGATTACAACAAATGGAACGAGCCCATTGACCCACTCGCAACGGACATAGCGACCACCATCCGCAGTCGTGTTGTACACGAATGGAACGAAATTATGAAGGCTGTGCATGACCCCTTCGCCTCCATTATAGAGACTATCGATAGCGGCCTAGAACACATTTCTTTATCGTTGCAGCTGACAAAACCACCGAAAACTTCGCTCAGAAAGAAAAATGTTCCGACGGACGGGGCCCCGGATCTGGAAGCGTCCGCAGAGAAACCCCCGTCCCCAGGAGAAGCAGGGTTTGCGGCGTATTATGAGCGAAAGCTCAGCGACTTTAAGGTGGCAAAACGACTCGCTCTGAGGACCTGGAGTGAGGAGAAGGGCATCACCTTACCTCCGGATTTCTTCGAGCGTCCTTCTTCTGACTGGCCCGATCTGGACGAATTCATACTCGACAAATCCGGGGTCGGTCGCGATAGGAGCCGACGACAGCTCTATCTTTTTCTTTATGTAGGTGCGGAAGCAACTTGTTCGATTTTCCTGCTGACTCCTTGGATTAGATGGAACAGTTACTCTACTCGACAGGCCATACAGTACTGGATTTTATTCATTTCGCCGATGAGAAAGTCAAAAGCGGAAAGTTGTCAAGATCACGTCTGATCATTCCTGGTGCTAAACGCTTACTGAAGTGGTTACGCAGTATACTTCAGGCGGAGGACACTCATGAAGACGATCACTTGGGCGATATCCACACGCAGAGCCATATTCTTCAGCTCGGTGAAGCGTACAGGCACAGGAAGGATCCAGAGCATTTGCCCCCTGAAACCACCATTCAGAAGATCGGCGACAAAATCAGGGTAATACCCTGGCTGCTGCGTTCATCAGAGTCGGCGTACGGATTTCGAGTGGCTTGTGCTACTATGACTATCTACGTCGTTGGCCTACTTCATCAGACTCAGACCTTCTTCATCCATCAACGTCTGGTCTGGGCCATGATCATGGTCAACATCAGCATGTCGCCGACCGCGGGACAGAGCATTTTTGGCTTTGTGCTTCGTCTGATTGGCACTGTGATAGCGATGGTTCTCAGCCTTTTGGCCTGGTATATTCCAGGTCAAAAGACACCGGGCGTGATTGTCTTCTTCTGGCTGTTTGTCGCCTGTGGGTTTTATGTCCCTATCAAGCATTTCCGCTTCCGAATCGTCGGGATTATCGTCATCATCACCACGTCCATGATCATCGGTTATGAGCTTCAGGTGCGCAAGGTTGGGCAACAGGTTGCGACCTCTAACGGCCAGGCTTATTATCCCATTTATCTTCTTGCTCCATATCGTCTTGCCATCGTGGCCGCAGGTATCGCGGTCGCATTTTTCTGGACGTTTTTCCCATTTCCAATCTCCGAGCATGGAGTTCTTCGCCAGAGCCTTGGAGCTTCGCTTTATCTACTGGCGAATTATTATTCTATTATCCACGAGACCGTGTCTGCACGCTTGCGGGACGAAGAGGGTGATCTGGCTTTGAAAACATCAGCAGGGCGAAGACTGCAGAAAGCGCGAGGCAAAGTGTTTTCTAAGCAGATGCTGATGTTGAATGGCTTGCGAACATCTTCGGAGTTTCTGAAGTGGGAAGTGCCCATCGGAGGCCGGTTTCCCAAGAAGCGGTACCAGGCTATCATATCATCGATTGAAAAGTATAGCTCCCATCTCACTTCATTGCCAGTGTCTCACCACTAACACCCGATAGTATCGTTAATTATCTGAGTTTGCTAGGCTATGCCGCGGACACTCTTTTGCAGATAAGCGAGGACCCCCATGCATCGAATTCCGACTGGCTTCACGACTTCAAAAGACTGGTGTCCAGTGCACGCGTTACGACTCACGAGGTGACCTCGGTTCTGTGCCTTCTCTCTGCGAGTATTACGAACCGACAGCCTCTGCCGCCGTACCTGAAGACTCCTCGACCGTACAGTTTCACAAGGAGATTAGAAGCGCTCGACAAAGACATTCTCAGCATCAAGCACATTACGGAGCCAGGATTTGCCACGTTTTCTGTACTGCAGATCTCGACCAGATGCATTGTTGGAGATGTGGAGAGATTGATGAGGTGAGTCAGACATCACCCGTGTTTGATAACATGCTAAAGCGGTTGGATAGAAATGTGAAGGCTCTCGTGGGAGAGCTTGACTTTTCCTTTCATGCTGTCAGCACAGCACATAGCACGAAGTCGTCTCTCGATCAATCGCGCCTCTCGAGACCACCGTCCCGCGAGAAGCTTGAGTGAGCGGTTACCATCTTGCTTATACATATTTGAGGTTATCAAATCTCGACTTGTTCGTCCTCACTGTAAATACTTGCGCATAGAATACGAATGTTATGTATCTCAATTCTGGATATATTGTCTTGCTTGCGGACCGGGTAACAGAAGGAGGCCATCTTGTTCTCTGTTGTGCTACCTATCTTTTCCAGCGGCTTTGCTAACTTGCTCAATAGGTGCAATTGAGAATGGAAAGCCAGTCTCCTCACTGAATCAGCGTTCGATAAGCTCATCGTTCATGCCTTGAGCAACAGAACTTCATGACTAACAATGCCGGCTGAACTTGGCAGTTGCTCGGATGCTTCGAAACGGCGATCGTTGAGCCTCCTGCATTCCATGCTCGAGTTAAACAAGATCATTAGCTCATCTCGGAACTCCTTGCACGATCCGTGCGCGATATCCACAAATCCTGCGTGGTCGCAGACTCAACAGCATAATGCATCAGGAATGCAGGAGAGTATGCGGACGACACCCACTGGAGCATGAATCAAGGGCTCAACCTCAACACCAGTTCCCAACTCCTTCCTTCTCTATTCCTGTCATAAATAATCCTGACTCCACCATGTGAGCATCTGAGCACAGTACATCCCTTGCGGAGAATTAATCATGCTTTTGCAGTAAAGCCACCATGAGGGAAACCGGGTCTTTTTCGATCTTTCGTTGATAAACCTGGCTTCGGTTGCCATATTTCCCTCGGACAGTTTCTCATCATTCTCCAGGACACTTGTCTACTAGACACTGGCGCCTTCTATGTCTTGACTTGCGCAACCACACCAAATGGGTGTAGAATCCATTGATACAGAGTACACTGCGAACACCACCAGAGACCACTTCAAATCCGGCAGAGCATTCCACAGCTACGATGACGATACGTTTTCCTATACTGACACGGTCGAGCTGTCCGTGCCGGTGGCAACCCCAGGGAGCAGAGAATGGAAGCCCCGAGTCAAGGAATGGCTCGTTCTGATCTGTATCTCGATCTTGACCATGTGGGTTGCCTTTGATGCGACAATGGTCATCCCATTCATACCGGTAAGGGCTCCAAGACACCACGCTGACGCCCCTCTTAACGGCTGGCCAGGGCTTATCACTCACGTTTGGAGAACCCCTCAGCAGCACACTCTGGCTCAACTCATGCTACCTTCTCGCCAGCGCGACGGGACAGATCTTCTTTTCGATCCTGGCCGAGGTAATCGGGCACGGGCCTCTTCTGGTCGCGGCGTCTGTCCTCTCAACAGTCGGGACGGGAGTATGCGGTGGCTCCCTGCAATTATCCGAGCTCGTCGCCGGTCGATTCATACAAGGACTCGGCGGAGGGGGCGTGGTGTCTGTTTCGCTGCTCTGTCTGGCGGAGAATATACCCGATAAACACCTCATACGCTTCTCGAGCTATGTCTCCCGGGTCCGCCTGGCGGGAGCCATCCTCGGCCTGGTCATCGGCACCTTGTTCTACGAGTACATCGCCTGGCGCGGGGCCTTCTACTCGAGCTTCTTCTTCTGTGCGCTCGGCATGCTCGTGATACCCTTTGCGATTGACCTGCGAGGTCACAGGGGGATCTCATCACGGACATTGTTAAAGATGGACTGGCTGGGCGGCGTGCTGACTCTCCTGGGACTGTGCTCGCTGCTTATAGGGATCAGCTGGGGGGGAACAAGCTACCCCTGGAGCGACTGGCGGGTTCTCACCCCTGTTGCTATCGGAACATCCTCGATCGTCGTGCTAGCTGTATACGAGACGAAATGGGCTATTCGACCGTTCTTCCACAAGAACGATTTCCGCACTCTTCCCGTCCTGATGATGTACACCGGCAGCTTCCTGCACGGGTTCACAGTTGGTCTCTCCCGTCTTCGAATCTGCAAACTGACTCGCCGCTGATTGCAATAGCTCCTCTACCACCTACAGAACCTAACCATATACTTCATCTTCGTCCGATCGCTTCCCCTCCCAGTAACCGCCACCAGCCTCGCCTCGATAATAGCCCTCGCCCTCCTCACCCTAACCCTGACAGAAAAGCTCGCAGTCCTGGACAACCGCCGGCACTGTTTCTGGCTGGTCCGCGTCGGATGGATGCTCCTCATCCTCTGCACAGGGTGTCTCGTAACACTGGACTCGACCACCCCAACCGCAGGCTGGATCCTCGTCCTCGTCGCGACAGGCGCGGGGCACGGATGTCTTCTCTCCGGATTCAAAAAGTGTCTTCGGCCGGCACCCGTGCCGCGGGATTACGGCGAGCAGGAGGAAAGAAGCGTTAACCCTACGTCTGCGCTACTGATGTGCTCGCTTTTTCGGACCGTGGGGATGTGTCTCGCTGTTACTGTCAGCGGGACGCTGTTTTTGGATCGTGTCGCGGTGGAACTACAGGGCCAGTCCTTTGAAAGCGCCCAGGGACAGACGACAGGGACGGCTTGGTCCCGCATCCCGGAAGACCGGTTCAGGAGCACCTGTGCAGCCAGCCTGGAATTTCTGTGGTTGGTGCTGACTGGGGTCGCGAGTCTGGGGGGTGCGTCTTCGGTGTTTACTAGGGCCGTGGGATGAATGGAAATTAATCAAGCATTTCCCAATGACATCAGCGGAATTAGGTTCCTCTTGTGTAGACTCTGTGCTTCTGTGCCTTGATTCCCCGCAGCTTTAGTTGATTCCAGCGTGGAGGTAGCAATGCATAGACCAGGTCTTAACACCATCCCTCCAGGCTATCCTGCATAACAGGGACACTAAATGATTCCGTTGTGTCATGGAATCCCATCCACCAGTCCATTGGAACCGCAGTGTCCGACCCCAGAACTCTATTGTCCTGCGTGATGTCATCCGCCTCTCATTGGGAATTCCCCATACAACACATCTCCGCGGAAGCCAAGATCATTAAATACACTGTAACCGGTAGACAGACAACCTCCACTCCCAGCCTTCCAAGAAATTATAAGTAATTGGTGCACGGAGTAGTCAAGCAAACATGCCCAAACCCACCGGCGCAACCGATCTCGAAATCCTCAACGAGCCAGACTGGACGCAATCGCACAGTCACCGCGTCGGCGTGCGCAACCGCGACGATCGTTTCCCCGGGCTGACGCATGAGGGCGACGACTGGCGCTTTGAGCTCGAGAAGGAGGCCGAGAGGCGGGCGGAGGAGCTGCGGGCCAAGGCCAAGAGGGGGGAGCTCCTGACTGTGCGGGACTTTTTGCAACAGCAGGAGGTGAGCATATCCATATCCTCTTTTCCATGTCAATACCCAGAAATGGAGGGAGGCTTATCTTTGTAGGACTTTCACTTGAGGAGGCCGGATGTGCATCCGAAGCATTGGCGGTATGTGCTGCATACGACGGAGGAGTTTATCAAGGAAGAGCAGCCGTGGTTGATTAATGAGAAGAAGAAGGAGATGGAAGAGCAGGAGAAGGAGAAGGAGAAGAAAGAGCAGCAAGAAAAGGGAGGGGAGCAGCAGCAGCAGCAACAGCAACAGCAACAGCAGCAGCAGCAGGAGGGTGAGACTGACGGCTCGGACAAGAAGCCTGTCGAGTCGGGTCAGGAAGGACGAGATCAGGGCGATGAGGAAGACTCGCAACCAAAGTATACCCCGGAGCAGCAGGCACTGCTGGCGTATCTGAAGCAGGAGGCAGAGTATATGCGGTCGTTGAAATCGAACGACGGAAAGGGCCATTCGCCTGCGGGGAGTTCTTTTTTGCCAGGAGAGATCGATGAAGCCGATCAATTCACCCCGGACAACTGGGTTCCTCGGACGGACCACTTGATCCGACTAACTGGAAAGCATCCGCTGAATGGCGAGCCACAGCTGGTCGAGCTCGTCGACGCAGGTCTCATCACCCCCAATTACCTCCACTATGTGCGCAGTCATGGCCCAGTGCCTCACCTCCTCTGGGAGAACCACAAGCTGGAGATCTCAGCCGGCAAGTCGTTGACCTTGTTAATGGACGATTTGAAGGATAAGTTTGAGAGCATCAACATTCCCGCCGCGATGGCGTGCGATGGAAATCGAAGAAAGGAGCTCAATCTGATCAAGCGCAGCAAAGGGTTCAACTGGGGCGCAGCCGCCGTAGGTTGTGCCTATTGGAAAGGCGTGCTCGTGCGAGACGTCCTGCTCATGGCGGATATCCTGCAGCTGATGGACGAATACAAGGATGTGCCCCTCTGGGTGAACTTTGGAGGCGCCGAGATTCTCAGCGAAGGAAAGTACGAAACCTCCATTCCTCTGGACTACTGCATGGATCCTTGCAATGATGTGATCCTTGCCTATGAGATGAATGACTCGCCCCTACCTCCGGACCATGGCTACCCGCTGCGCTTGGTGATTCCCGGGTACGTGGGGGGACGTTGTGTGAAGTGGCTGGAGAAGATCTGGGTGACCGACCGTGAGAATGACACCTATTACCATATCTTCGATAACCGGGTCGTCCCCTCCTTTGTGACCGACCGGTTTGACGAAATAGGCCAGACCATGTATCGTCTCTCAAGCACGGCATGCAACGAACAGATGCTGAACTCGGTCATCGCGAGACCGGCGCAAGGAGAGAGGATAGACCACGCGGAAATAAGAAAGGGCAGAAAGTACCGAATCATGGGTTACGCGTATAATGGAGGTGGGAACGAAGTACAGAGAGTTGAAGTCAGTCTCGATGGCGGTGTCCACTGGCTGTATTGTGTCCGCAAGGTACGTCGGTAGCTATTTCTTTGATTAGTAGTGCATGCTTTCTGACGCCTGTTGATATGGAACAGTTTCCCGAGGCACCGCTGCGACATGGCAAGAAATTCTGGACTTGGTTGCACTGGCATGTGGACATCGACATCACGCAGCTACTTCGCGCTGAGCAGATCACCGTCCGTTGCTGGGATGTGAACAAGAACACCCAGCCGGAAAACCCGACGTGGAATCTCGAAGGGTGAGTGTCGATCCATGAAAGTAAATCGGAGGTAGAGCCTTGCTGAACACAAGCAGCATGATGAACAACTGCCACTACGTCGTCAAGTCAGAAACCTCAGTGGACCCGACGACCAACAAGCCGTATCTGCTGTTCCGTCACCCCGTTGAAGCTGGCACGGGCGAGAACGGGTGGATGAAACCCTCGATCGATATCCAGAAGGGAGATATCCGACGATCAGCAGCCGTTCCCGAGAAGCAGTTTACCCGTGAAGAGATTGAAAAACACACCACGGATGATGACTGCTGGATCATCATCAACGGTAAAGTATACGATGCCACCAGTGTCCTGAGCTGGCACCCAGGAGGTAAAGCGCCCATCATGTCCCACGCGGGCCGAGTCCATCAAGACACGTCGGAGGAATTCGAAAGTATCCACGACGATTATGCTGTTCAGAAATTAGAGGGTACAACATCCTTCTCCGTTGTCCATCATAACGTGCTAACGTAGTGAATAGAGTGCCTCCTGGGATCCGTCACCAAGAAAACGCAAGAGTTCATCAAGCAGGAAGCCGAAGAAAAAGCTAAGGAGAAAGCGGAATCAGCAAAAGAGGAAGACGAGGTGGCCCTCAAGCGTCACAAGTACGTCCTTTATCCTTCAAACCATGACTAGCAAAAGCTCACCTCAACATCGCAGATGGACCGCAGTCAAATTCCTCCGCAAACGACCGTTATCGGAGGACACAAAGTGCTACACCTTTGAGCTCCCTTCCAAAGACAAAAAGCTCGGTCTGGAAACAGGCCAGCATCTTCAGATCGGCTTCCACTTCAAGGACCGGCTTGTTGTTCGTCCATACACCCCTACCCGGCCCATCCTGGAGTCCGAAGAAGACGGCACATTCGACCTTGTAGTCAAGACGTACTTCCCTAGTTCCGCACAGCCAGGCGGCACAATGAGCAATATCCTCGACTGTCTACAGGAAGGCGAGGAGGTCGAAGTAAAAGGGCTCACAGGCGAGATCCGATACCGCGGGAATGGCGAATTCCGCGTCGACAACAAGACGTATCATTTCGATCACATCACACTGATTCTAGGAGGATCTGGTATCACACCGGGGTATCAGCTCATTGCACGAATTGTGAGGACAGAACAGGGGAACGGGCCTAAGGTCCGGGCCATTGATGCCAACAAGTCCGAGGAGGATATTTTGATGCGCGGGGAACTCGACAAGTACGCAAAAGAACATCCGGACCAATTCCAGATCACGTACGTGCTTTCTCACCCGGCGGACGACTGGAAGGGAGAAAAAGGGCATGTGAACGAGGAGATCCTCCACAAGTACGCCTTTGAGCCGGGGGAGAAGAGTGTTGCGCTTCTGTGTGGTCCGCCTACCATGATCCAGAAAGCGGTCTTGCCAGTTTTGAAGAAGTGGGGATATGATGAGGACAAGAATCTTTTTGGTTTCTAGTATTGCCTTTTTGGATTTGCGGCGTGCTATTTCCCCGGGTGAGGACTTCCCTTTGGAACACGCATGGGTTGAACTGCAGCAGTTGCTTAGACTTTGGTGGTGGTCTGGATCCCCTGAGGCAACAAGCCTCAGAGCAAGTTTGCTCGCATAATTCTTGGACGTACCAGAAAGAGTTGAATGGCAAGTAGACGTAAGTCCAGAAGAATCACATATGAGTAACGTGTAAATAATGGCTGTCTGCACTAGATTCCATCAAGGCCTCGCCTATTTCCAAGTGCTCGGCGGGGATCCCTGTCTCATGCCAGATAGGAATGTACGTAACACGATTGAGTTATATAAGTTCAGTTTTTACTTTTCTTGTCTTACAATGTAATACAGAATTAGAACGGCTGTATCAACCGGTTGATTGATTGATCGATTGATTGACTGCGGTTGTTTGACTGACGCAGCGTAGTATACACAAGGTCGAAGTACATGACCATAAGCACAAGCGCTATGCATTATATTCATTCACAATGACACAAACATTGCGTAAAGACAATAGCAAGGCAGCTCGAAGCTGCTGGTATCGAGCAAGTGAAACGAACAGAGCAGGACAAGAGCAAGACGAGAGAAGAGACAGAAGTGAGAAGACATGCTTCTCAGTTGCGCGTCAAGAGCGGGTAGGGAGTTGGCACCCGCTTCAAGCCATAGCCAGAGTGCTCATCCGCCTTTGAGGGCGTCACTTTCAATTTGAATGAACTGACTCGGTCCTTGAGCGAGGACTCTTTGGAGTCGTTCGCTGGCTTGGGTTTGCGGAGCTCGTTGACGAGCTTGAGGTAGTGCTTGATATGGTTGAAGCTTTCCTTGGCCATGATCGATTGAAGGTGAAGAAGTTGTTGGAGCTTGAGATGAAGAAATTTGCTGTCTGGCAGAGAGTTCTTGGAGGAAGGACGAGGGATGGAAGAGAGAGAAAGGAAGAAGAAAACAGGAGGGAGGGTTATACGCCGTCGGCTGGCTAAGAATAGATACCGTTCCAGAGGAATCTGAAGAGTGAAAATGACAACAGAGTGATGCCATGAGCCGTGAAAGTTGACTCCGATGACCCAAGAATAGTGCGCTTTGGCTTGGGGTTGGACATATTTTACCATTTGAACAGGTCAGGCACACCAAGGGCAGTGTTGGTCGTTGGAACGATGCTGAGTTATATCGCATCAGGCATGGGCTGAACAAGGACGCAGCACTTTCACAACCGTACTCTCCACCGACAGCTGTCGCATGTATGATGCAGGAAGTGCAATGGCAGCAGGAGCTGTCGTTCCTATCAACGGCAGAAATGCATGTCCAGGAAGGAGCATCTACGCTCGATGCACCTGGCTACTCCTGTTTGTTTATATGGAGGCGAGTCCCCTCTGGCATCTTCGACATTCTCCATCTGCTGCATTCTGTCCCAGCTTACAATCCATCTCTTATATCCATTCCACTCATTACGCCTTTCAATCTCATATTCTCTTACAGTCCAACCTTCCGAGTTGCATCATCATCATCATCGTCATCATGCAGTTCCTTCTTATTGTCTCTCTCCTGTTCATAACGAATCCTACTCTCGCTGCTCCTCAGCGGCTGGGGCACAATGACTCTTCGCTGCCCGATAACCTACCCTTCCCTTCTCCTGATCAACTACGGGAAATCGAGCTGAGAGCACATGGAACGCTGCCAAACACGCCGCCTCCAAATAACATCAGCCGACAGGGTATTGTCAACCTACAATGGATCGCTTTCAATGAGAACTTCGAGGTGGCTTTCTTCAACAGTCTTCTTCACAATGTCACCAACAATGTAACGGGCTACGAGATCCCCGATGACGAATGCGAAGAAGATGAAGAAGACCTGGATATGGTCATCCGAAGTCTCACTGCAATTCTTGCGGTAAGCCTCCTCCGTAGATACATCAATCAACGCACTTTGACTAACGATTGACTTTAGCAAGAAGAGTTGCATGAATTGAGCGCCAATACCGCCCTTCAACACTTCAATGTTTCTCCCATCCTTCCTTGCAGGTATCACTTCCCTGTCTCCGACTTTAACTCCGCGATCGTCCTGGCCGCCAACTTCACCGATCTTGTCCTTGGAACTCTGCAAGACGTGGTGGAGCGATTTGCCGTAGGGGGTGACTTCAACTTCACTCGGATCATCTCGTCGGTGATTGGAAACGAAGGCGAACAAGAGGGCTGGTTCCGCGTGCTGCAGGACAAGATTCCCAGCGAACTTCCCTTCCTCACCACCAGTGATCTCAACTTTGCTTTCTCCGCCATACTCAATGCTTTTGTCGTCCCGGGCAGCTGCCCGAATATCCATGAGATTCCACTGCAAAGATTCCATCCCCTGGCCATCCTGACACCACCTGAAAACCGGACGCAGATCATCCAGGTCGCCTTCAGGCCTGACAGGAACATGGCCCAGCGCTTGTGGATGACCTATATCAATCAACAGAATCTACCAATAGTGGAATCAATGAATATCATCTCCACCGAAGACCGAACGGTTGTCGCAGAGGTCCTCTTCCCGTACGACCAATTCCTGATGAACGGACTGACCATTGCTGCTGTGACCAACAGCAGTGGTCCGTTCAGCAATGCTAATGACGTGGCTCGGGCGACAGTGGCTGGACCTGGCTTGATCATTGTCAATTGACTTGTTGTTATAAATCGTGCTCTTCATTCTTCCATCATTATTGTTTAAGCCTCCTGTCTTACTACTCTTCCTATGCTGCCATAGCGCTTGTTTGTTTGGGACTCCGGAAAATTGGATTAGCTTTAGCTCTATGGCAATTCGCCAGTGATTGCCTGATAGGTAGTTAGATATAAAAAATTAAACGCTATTACCAGGTAGCTCTCTCTTCTCTCCTCGGCCTTCCCTCTCACGTTGTGTTGTACGATCCAACGAACATCACCTCGGTCGAAACGCGACGGTTGTCAATGTCGACTGGCAGTTCAATCTCTACCAGACTGCGCGCTGTACCGGACCGAGTGATCGTTAGACTACTTGGGTGCTAGACCAACTGCATGGAGAGATCTGCAGTGGCAGCGCGGCCGCCTCCACGAAGCTCTTCGTGGACCCGGACTGTTTGGTGCTCTTTTTCGGCGATGCCAACTAGTCGCCCGGGGATGACATGATTGACATCTCGCTTCTTCTAATTAAAGACCGATTATTCAGCAATTCCTAAGCTTATTCAGCTGTTGTTTTTATGATAAGAGTCGATGTCATGTCTTCGTGCCTCATCAATTCATCATCCTGCCCAGGACAACACAAAATGAAGGCTCCCCAGACAAAGCCATCGATGAAACCATCAGAGAGGACATTCTAAAGCATTCAGAGGACGCTACATACGAAGCTCTCTTTATCATTGCTACCCCTGTCGACTACGACTACCATGTTACCTGTGAAAACTTCGCCACTGTTTGCAAAGACCCAGACTATATCGCCCGGTGCATCATACAGGCCAGGTTTGAGGGCAGGGGTCCAAATATACCCAAGCACTGGTTTCCGAATCCACAACCATTCAAAGCTATCCGAGTTCCGAAAGAAGACCAAACCGCACAATCTGCATCATGACGCTCTGCGGTGCTTGTGCATCTGTCTTCCTGCTTCTTAGTTGGACTGTAAAACACAGCGGCAGACGTCCTTTTCCTGTACGACCAGTTCCTGATGAACGGATATCCATTGCTGCTGTTCCCCAATATGACTACAGTGGCTAGACCTGGCGTGATTGTTGTTAATTAAGGGCATAGTTACTACTCTTCCTATGCTGATATCATGCTTGTTTTGTTTGGGACTCGAGAAGACTGAATTAGCTTTAGGTCTGTGACGAATCACCAGTGATTGCCTGATATGTACTTAGATACAAGAAAATTAAATGGTGTTAACAGGTAGCTCTCTCCTGTCTCTCCTCTGCTTTCCCGCTCACTTTGAGTTGTACGATTCAACGAAGAATGTGCAAGCTGCTTACAGCTTACCCTGGCCCGCCTTGGCGTTAACGCTGGAGACAACGGTGGTGTAGGCGGCAGCGGAGGCAATGTTCTTGCCCTTGAAATTCGAGAGGAAGTCCGTATCGGCCTGCTTGAAGGTGCCGGAGCTTCCGAAGCCGTTGACCTGGCAGGTGTGGCCCAGGTAGGAAGAGCAGACCTTGTTGGTGTTGGTGTCGGGCGAGGTGAAGAGCTTGCCGGAGATGGGGGACTCGGCGACGACCGCGATGTTCTGGAAGACGTTTCCTTCGGCGACGACGTAGGCACCGGAGCCGATCTCGAAGGCGTGGCCGGTGTTGTCGTACCAGTAGTTGTTGACCTTCTTCATTAGTTTCAGGCGATCAAAGATGAGGGGAGGGAACGTACAGCGTGCAGCAGAGTGTTGCCCTGGACCTTGGGGGAACGGCCACTGGTGTGGTAGATGTAGTTGCCCTTCATGGTGACCATGTCGCTGGAGCCATCGAGGTAGATGCCCCAGTAGTGGTAGCCGTCGCAGGTGGCCGAGTAGTCCGAGACACCGTTGATGTACGAGTTGGAGATGGTGATGCGGTTGTCGGCCTCGGTGCCTAGGACGATGTGCTGGCGACCGATGCGGGCGGTCTATCATCATCAATATCAGCATTCGTCTCAAGTGAGCACGTTCGAGAGACTTACCGTGACGTGGTCGATCCAGACGAGGTCAGCGTTGTTGATGGTGATGGCGTCTCCACCCCAGACGTACTTGGGGTTGATGTCCGTGATAGCGACGTTCTGGATGATGATGTTCTTTGCGCCGCTAACGATGCGCAGTCCCTTGCCCTTGATGACGCCGGCGCTGCCCTGGCCGATCAGGGATTTGTTCGAGTTGACGGTGATGCCGAGCACGCCGGCGTTGTCGTAGCTGACGCTGGCCTTGGGGGCGTTGGGCTCGTAGTTGTCGCACCACGAGTTCTGGTTGATGGCCAGCTGGCACTTGGAGCTGGTGCCCCAGGGGGCGCAGCCCGTCGAGGTCGTGGTTCCTTCGGTGCCACGGAAGTCGAAGCTGTGACCCACATGTTAGTGTTCGCCTTCGTCTTCATCCTTCAGGGTAACGGGGGCGGGTACGTCTTGGTGAGGACGATGACGCGGGCCTGGTTGTCACCGAGGTATGAGACCAGCTCATCGGTTGTTGTGGGGTAGACAGGGGAGGCGCTTCCACCTCCTGTCACGCCCTTTGCGAAGCCCTCGGCGGCTCCGGAGACGCCAACGGCCGCGGCGGTACTGGCCAGCGCAGCCGTGACGGCGGCGAAGAGAGAGGTATATCTCATGATGAGTGAAAGAATGACACGAAAAAGAATGAATGAATGAAGTGAGCACTAGAAGCCAAAAGTAAAGAAGGAATGAATGGGTTGGTCAAACAAGCATTCCTCACGGGGGAAGCCTTATATACATATATACACTTCGTCTCGGAATCCGGACATGGTCCAGACTCCAGAGGGAGACATCAAGAGATGCAAACCCCTATTATCAGATCCGGTTCATCTATTCGAGTCAGTAATGCAGCGCCATGCTAGATAGAGGCCTGTTAGATGAAACGTACCAGACCAAGCCAGCCTAAGCCAGCCTAAGCCAGCCCTAAAAACACCAGTAAAACACCAGTTCCCAGCCCACTGGGGCTAAGAAGGTGTAATCTACAACAAGAATAGTGTCCTTGAGTACGGAGGAAGTCAATGTATGAAAATTCAAATGTCGGCCAGAATTTCTTCTTGAGCACGTCGGCAGTAATTGCTCTTGTCAGCCATTAACCGATACATAGTGGATAGTGGATGGTTCATCAATGAGGGGCAAAGAGGGACGAGTCTAGTTTAAAGTGTTTCATAGTGCTACTTTGGAAATACGATTATACGGCAATATCTTCACCTCTTCGCACAGGGCCACTGGGGAACTTGCTAACATCTTAGCTGCCGGATGTTGTTGCGCTTCTGAGAATTTCTCCGTCTTGGCAGGTGCCAGTTGATGTATCCAGAGATGCACGACTCGAGACTTGAGCTGTTGCATCTATGTGAATACGAAACTCTAAAAATGCGGCTTTTTGATTTGAATCCTTCGATGGACATGGACCATGGTTCTCAAGAGTCCAGTCTTATTGTGGTGTGGTCGTGGTAGAGTCAGACGATGAGAGACACGATCCACAGTGGATCACCAACTGATCCTTCGACCACATGGTCAGTACCCATTAGACTAACTATCATGACTAGTGTCCTTGTCAGGGGATTCTCCTGGACGTCATTAAGTTGAGATAACCTCCTAGGAATAAGAGGATAACCCCTGCATCATAGAAAGTGAGTCCATTCCCCATAACCAGCAGATCCACATAGGGCAGCATCAGAAGTACCGAGCTTAGCCTTGCCTTCAACGTGGTCTACTCTGCGCAAATAATACGTACGGAGCAGTAAGCAGTCGTCTTAATTGCAGGAAATTGTCCGAAGGCCGTCAGGCTCTAGCGCCTACTTAGCATATTGGCAGATTGTAAGCGTATTAATTTGCTGCACCAAAAAGGTAGTGATTACCGCCTAGACTCCCTTTCTCTAATTCCTCAGAACAATGCTCGATAACAGGCTAATATGCTTGTAGAGTAGCCGTTGTCTTGGTGATACGCCAGTCCCCGGCTTATATTGCTACTTTAGTCAACCAGGACTTGGAAGGTCCGGATAAATATATCGTAGGAACTGAGCGGTTGGTACTCTACTTGAAGACTAGCATAGAAGGACAATTTCCGTATCCCACACGGTTCCATCCTTCGACCACCGCAATCTCGTCGCAAAGTGATGAGGAGGTCTGCCTGGTCCATCTGATCATAAGATCCAGAGTCTGGAAACCCCCCGATGGTGTTGCCTTGCTGAAAAGTGTAGTTTACCGTGACCTCGAAAGCTCAATGGCCACGGCCTATACTGGAAGGATCACCAGGCCACCTTCTATAAGTCAAGAGTCACAGTAAGGTCGTAAACCTCTTGTCAGCTGATCGTCCTGAAGTGATGAATCTTCTTGTCCATAGTGATTCCGGGAGAGATCCGGAGCACGCCCGAGTCGTCTCCCCGACACTTGCTGATTGGAGGCCAAGCACATGCAGAAGGTGGTTTTGCCAAAGATTGGATCAGACTAAACTGTCAGTGGTGACTTATAATCAATTGTCTCAATGTCTCGTTGCAGAAAACATATGAGAAATATCGACAATAAACCATTGGAACAACTGCGAGCCCGGTGACAATGCAGATAAAAGGCAGTTGAACAGTCAGGGATGATCAAGGAGAAGGGCAGATGAGCATGAATCTTGGCATTCAACATATTTGCTCGGATTCCAATTAGCGACGCATATTTATGCGCACATCAGTTCATGTTCATGATCATCTCAATCTTATTCTATCAAGCCGAATAGGATGTCTGAATAGAAACGATCTACACACGGTCCCGGTCGGTCGGTGTCATGACAGCAGTTTGATTACTGAAACAGATCCCCAGACTGCTGTCATATCAGATCAGTGGTTCGAATGCAGACTGAGACATTGGCAAAGCGATTGCTGATCTTTGGATGGACGCACAAAGAGGAATAGTATTTGTGCCTCGCCTCGCTGCCTCAGGCTCATTCACATGACGTTCAGTCGTCGGAAAGGCAGTTCCGTTCCCCCTTGGGCTGGGCTAGCACTCAATCATGTCTATCGACTTCATGAATCAGATGGCTGTATATCATAGACAATAGGAGCAGGTTCGTCTCTCAATTGAAACAGAACATCTACCGAAAGAACGACGGAGTGGCTGCAGGGGATTATATTTCTTGCATACCAGCGAGCTTTCGCCGTGTATCCCCGACGCTTGCAATTAGCGGATGTGTGATTGGCCCGTACGCGCTGAGTCAGCAAATTGCCGACCGCCAGACCCGAGGTTACCTTAAGGTAGCTCTCAGAAGCGACAAAACATCTCCAGCGGCGTCTGAACCGTCTTCCGGCCTCCTTGAACCTCATCTCGTCGTCGCCGCTGGCAGGCTGCTGCTATATCTGACCACATTGTACTACATCTCCTCTCTCTGCCTCTCTGCCACTTAACACTACTCAATCGACCCCTTTTGGCTCGTCCACCCTTGACTTCAGCGCCTCGCGTGATTGAAACAATCTTCCTCTCGTCCGCCCACCATGGCTGCTCTTCGTTCGACCTCGCGCCTCGTCGCATCCACAAGGCCTCTGTTCCGTCCTGCCGTCTTTGCTCGCTCGTATGCCACTGTTGATCCCGCTACTGGAGTCGGTCGCTCTGGCAATGCCGAGGCAAAGGTTACCCCCGAGACCAGGACTTCCGACGTTCAAGATCCCAACCCGTCCCAGTCTCCGAAAATCAAGAAGTTCCACGTCTACCGCTGGAACCCGGACCAGCCCACCGAGAAGCCCAAGATGCAGACCTACAGCCTGGATTTGAACAAGACCGGTCCTATGATGCTGGATGCGCTCATCAGAATCAAGAACGAGATCGACCCCACCTTGACCTTCCGGAGAAGTTGCAGAGAGGGTATCTGCGGTAGCTGCGCCATGAACATCGACGGTATCAACACTCTGGCTTGCTTGTGTATGTTTGGCCCATCTGGAATGGATTAAGGACATTTTGAGCGTGGTTGCTAACATCCCGTTAGGCCGCATTCCCACCGACACCAAGCAGGAGTCGCGTATCTACCCGTTGCCTCACACCTACGTCGTCAAGGACTTGGTCCCCGATCTGACCTACTTCTACAAGCAATACAAGTCCATCAAGCCTTACCTGCAGCGTGACACCAAGACCGAGGATGTGAGTAATTCTCAGTTGATTGAGACCACGTAGCCCCGCTAATTCAAGAATAGGGTCTCGAGCACCGCCAAAGCCCCGAGGACCGCAAGAAGCTCGACGGTCTTTACGAATGCATCCTGTGCGCCTGCTGCTCGACCTCTTGCCCTTCATACTGGTGGAACAGCGAGGAGTACCTGGGTCCCGCCATCCTGCTCCAGTCTTACCGTTGGCTGGCCGATTCTCGTGATGAGAAGACCGCCGAGCGCAAGCACGCTCTCGACAACAGCATGAGCGTCTACCGTTGCCACACTATCCTCAACTGCTCGCGGACTTGCCCCAAGGGCCTGAACCCTGCTCGGGCTATTGCTGAGATCAAGAAGATGCTCGCTGCTCATTAGTTGGTGTATTCACAATAAAAGAAAGGTGCTTCGTTGTTCTAGCTTGCTCATTTTCCCCTGTGTGCCTATATTTCCTTTCATCTTTTGTCCCATGTTGTTGCATTAGTTTTTTCTCCTCGATTCCGAGGTTATTCATGTCGGATGTTTTCATAGGTGTAAATTGAGTATTCGATTCAAGCAATATAGTGGCGATATTCATCTTTAATCGCTTCCTTTTGGCGCAGTTTAGAGGAAAACTATGATCCATAATCCTCAGCAATTCAATCTATCCGCATTGAAAGGAGCCATCTCTAACCAATAAGTGTGATAGCCCGGAGCATGATCGGGAAGAGTTCGGCATTTGGTTGGATTTTCTGTATAGAGGCAAAATTTGGGTGGCGATATCATCCCTGGGCTGTTCGCACAGTGGTAGTGCGCCCGCTTCGCATGCGGGAGGTCGTGGTCGATTCCCACATAGTCCATTTTTGCTTCTATTCACAGCTTCATCGCGTTTCCTTTTTTGCTCTTTTCATTGTCATTATTTACATGCTGTCATTCATCGTGCTGCAGTGCGGAAACGTGGTGGATAGTGTCTTGTTTGTATTGGGTGGCAGGACATCGTCAGACAATCCACAAAAAGCCCCTTATAATAGTAAACCTGCCCTCGCTCTCTATCTATGTACAATCAGTGTTGGCGACAGCGCTGAGCGTTTGAGCATTATATTTACTGCATCATGACTGTCCATGGGGCTGATAGCAGGGAATCATAGAGATGTACACGGCGTCAATCTCATATCTGTCTGATATATGCATAGCGACGGTACCTGTGTTGATCGATCTTGACAAGTTGTGCTCATATTCCTATGGAGCACTCAGTTCAGCATACTTTCTCGACTTGTATCCATATGATTTTACTTTTATAAGTAAGCTGAGATCAGACCAAGGACAGTAAAACTGGAACACGATACTATTTATAAAAGAGTTCTCCACTATTGTTGTAGATCCTCCTCTGCCTCAGCTCACTCCTAGCCATTAACCCCACCATCGATCCGCATTGTTTCTTCTCCTCTGCTCAACTTCCGACTTCATCCATATTAGCAAAAATGCCTCCGCATGAAGGGCTGGTCCATCTCAAAGAATACGACATCAAAGACAGCAATGTGGAATTGATCGGTTCAGACATCGACCATCGCGTCAAATACAACTCGGCCGCGTCCGAGCCAGCCTGGAACAACGGCCAGGTGGGACAACAATGCGGACTCTTCATCTGGCGCATTGAAAACTTCGAGGTCGTCCCCTGGCCCAAGGAACGCGCAGGCGAGTTCTACGACGGCGACAGCTATATCGTCCTGGACTCGTACACGGTCGAGGACAAGCTGTGCCACGATATCTTCTTCTGGCTGGGAAGCAAGACCACGCAGGACGAGGCGGGCACGGCGGCGTACAAGACCGTCGAGCTCGATGAGTTCCTGCATGGTGCTGCGACGCAGCATCGCGAGGTCCAGGCGCACCCCTCGCCGGAGTTCCTGGCGCTCTTCCCTCGTCTCCGCATTCGATCTGGGGGCGTGCGATCGGGCTTCACCCATGTCGAGACAGAGAAACAGTCATCGAAGGAGGCTATCACGCTCCTTCGGATCTTCAAGCACCCTGGTGCTGCGCGAGCTGATTCAGTCATTGTGTACGAGGTCGAGCCGACCTGGCGGAGTCTCGACGATCACGATGTCTTTGTCTTGGATCAGGGCGAGAAAATCTGGGTCTGGCAGGGCAAGAACTGTAGCCCGATGGAAAAGGCAAAAGCCGCCCAGGTGGTCAACGATATGACGCTTGCTAAACATATCAACGTCGAGGTTCTTTCCCAGCTGGAGTCACGATCCAAGATCGTCGTGGACCTCCTCGGCGGCAAGGATATCCAGCAGTCGTCCTTCCAGGCACCGCGGCCTGTCTCGTTCCCTGCAGGAGGCGATCGGGATAGCGACGAGTCTCAGTTCCACAAGTTATTCCGACTCAGTGACGCCACAGGGGCGATTTCATTCGATCTCATCAAGGATGGTCAGCAGATCTCCCCGTCAGACTTGGATGGAAACGACGTTTTTCTTTGCGACACCGGTAGCAGACTTTGGGTCTGGCAAGGCTCGCAGGCGAGTAGACAGGAGAAGGCGCTGTGGCTCAAGGTTGCCCAATCCTATGTCCGGCAGATTCAGGAGGAGCGGGCCAACTCGGCTGCCCATCTGATTCCGATCTCGAATGTGGTGCAAGGCCATGAGAGTCCGGCATTTTGGAAGGCTATCAGAGTTTGAGATTACCGCAGGCTAGTGCCTGTTCCTTCGACTGGTGAGACATGCTTGCTTGGACCTCACGCTGTGTATCTAATCCAAATGGTAAAGATGTCTATCATACGAATGATGTCCAATTCTACAAGTATTATGCGAGCCACAAGCTATGGTCGAAATGAAACAGCGAAACAACAGAATTACTAAGCTAGACAATATTTTTCAACTTCAGCATTCCATTATAAAATAATCTCTGAATGAATCTCATGGTGCTGATTCTTCTCCACCAGATCAGGAAGGCGCCCCCAGAATATGGCTCCAGTCGACGGTGTTCTCTCGGCGGGTGCGGCTGTTTTTGTACAGCGGGAGTTTTCGGTGCGGGAGGTATATCCAGTTCATGTCTTCCGGTTGCTTTCCTGGTGGCTTCGTCCGGGGTTTCTCGCGTGTATTCGATCTCGAAAATACCGGGTAGCCCATCCTTTTGGACCTCGACAGCACGGCCACTCGATAGCTCCAGAGTGCTTGGGCAAGGACTCCATGTTTACTGATACGAAACTGAGTGAATTCCAAAATTTTAAGCTTCATAATCCAAAATCCCGCGCTAACCAGGCCAAAGACGGCCCATATATAGCTAGCGCCTAAAATGATAATCTCAGGCTTCTCAGCCTTCGGGTTCCATTTTGGTTAGTGCTGACGCTGACAGCAAGAGGAGAGGGAAGCGTTAACTACCTTCAGGGATCCCCTTTGTCATTATAACTTCGCATCCTCAGACTTTCTGCAATCGCACTCACTCTCAGGAGTAAAATTTATCTTTGTTTTGTCTCCCAAAACCATTCACACATAATGCGCTTCTTTGAAAATAACCTCGCCGTTGACCGGACGGACCGAACCTCTATACAGGTGCTTGGTGCCGGTCTCCCTCGTTGTGCAACAAGCTCTCTGCAGGCCGCCCTTGAATCGCAACACATCGGTCTGACTCCCTGCATGCACTTTGCGCACATTGCGCCAAACGCCGAACGCGGGGACATCGTCCTAGCTGCACTCCGGGAGAAGGACTCTACACGGCGTCACAAGCTACTTTATAAATTGTTTAATGGTTTCCAAGGAGCCACCGATTTCCCTGCATCCATGTTCATGGATGATCTTATGGACATGTATCCGGACGCTAAGGTCGTGCTGAACAAGCGGCCTGGTGGCGGCCGCCAGTGGGTGCAGTCGATCAAGCTGCTTACCTTTGCAGCCTCACCCGTGTACCACACTCTCTGCTTCTTATGGAAGACCGATCGCAATGTGGCTGCCATGTGGCGCGAGATTATGGAGGTCTGTCAGAGCAAACTGGGTCTAACTGCGGACGAGCTTTTGACGGTAAAGCATTATGATGCGCATAATGCTTGGATTCACGCCGAGGCAGCGAAGCGCGGGCGAGAGGTCTTGGAATTCGAGCCTCAAGATGGATGGGAGCCCTTGTGCGTATATCTCGGCAAGCAGGCACCAAGAGATGAGCCTTTTCCTCACCGCAACGATGCTTCCGAAGTTCGAATGGTTGTGAGGATTCTGTATGCTCGGGGCGCAATCTCCTGGCTTGCGCTAGGTGCGGTGGTATTTGGCACAGTAAGATGGCTTGTGAACGGGCAGCTGTTCTAGCCTTGCATCGACATTCTGTCTGACAGGACCCTTTTTTGGGGCTGGTCCCACTGTGAGACATTTCCGGTTGGGATAATGACATGAGAGATATCTACATATGATGCCGCTGTGATTGGATGGTCGAAGTTGATTTCAAATACTAGTCACCTGTATGTGTGTCGTTTTAGGTATATACCGTACAGCCATAAGTTGTTCCACGCCGCATCACACAGTGGGACACCTTATATAAAGTTTGTGGGTCTTTATGGTTAATTCTCTACAGCATGAATTCATTCTCAATTACATACTATAGAGTATCCCAACGGACATTTCCTTGCTTTAGCCCATGCACCACGCCTGTTCACTACTACTAGATAGTAAACCGTCGCCTGTTTATCGCTCGATGGATCTTCCCATATCAGATTCCGTCAACCATCGTACCTCAGCCCCTGGTCAGGATTATTGCTACAAGTCTGAGTACTATTTAGGCAAGTTGTCATATGCATTTTAATCTAGCTTATCAGCAAGGCCAGTGTCATGTAGGAGACCAGGTAACCATAATCTTAGGCTTTGTCACAGGCAAGTAAATGAACGCAAAAAGCCTTCCATGCCGTGCACATCATCTATAGTAGACAAAAAGGCGACATGCTGATCAGGCCGCAATAAAACCATGCAACCTTCTGGGTCTATGCCAAAGGACGTATAGAGCTCCCCTCCTCCAGGATGGTGGTATGATTCATTATCCGCCATCACCCTGCTATAGTCTATACCCCCGTCCTCGAGACAGGGACGGAAGATTTCCGGCAGACGGAAAAGATCGATCCTGTTTCTGTTTGCGGAATGTACCAGGTACACTTCAACTGAACCGACGCCGTCTCTTGCCCTGCTGGCCTTGTTCAGTTGCTGGAAGTATGAGGCTGGGTGAGAGAGTGCTTCCGCTAAGCGATTGACGCGAGTCATCTGTTCAATCTTAGAAATATCGCCCCCGAAAATGATCAGATTCCATTGCCCGGTACTGGGGAAGCGTTGTTGTAGATGGCAGGCTTGCGAGTCGCTCTGATTCAGGACCAGTTTGCTGGGGATCCGGGCTCCCAGCCTGATAGCCCTGGCCAGAGATGGCCTGCTGTAAAAGGAGGCGCCCTTCGAGCCTCCAGCTTCTGACGACGGGCTAATGAGTAAGTTTGGTTGGTATGTTGCGGTGAGCCCAGAAAACGAAGTATTCTCCTCTCGGATAGCGCGCTTGTAGCCCTCGTCGAATCTTCCGCGCGACATACTGCACATGCCACCACAGAGGCGTTGATCCAACTCGATAAGCCGTTGCGCAATGGGGAGTCTCTCTTGCGCATATGTGGCTAGGATATCCGGCGGCGAGGCACCACGAGCCACGGCAGCGAGTTTCCAGCCCAGATTGTATGTGTCCTGCATGCTGACGTTCATTCCCTGCCCTGCCTTGGGCGAGTGGGTGTGGATCGCGTCGCCAGCCAGGAAGAGGCGGTTGTGCACTGAGATCTTTGGGCAGATCCGCTGGCTAACCTGGGCTTGTTCAGCATTTGCACAACAGACCATCGAAATGGAAGTAAGTACCTTGTAAGTCGTGTGCCAGTTGATCCGGTTTGTTTTTATCATATATGGCTGCATGATCTCCGCGATGCGATCCATGATGACCTCGGGAGTTTGCTGGATCGCGTATTGTGCAGAAGCCATCGGTGACAGCTCAGTGTATACCCGGACCAGGCGCTTCTCGCGCGGGAGCACCATCAGCGTTCCGTATTGGGATTTAACGATGCATCGTTTGCGTATATCCGCTGTACCGCATGGCATTAGCACTATTCTTTTGCAGCCCGGATAGTGGGGGTGAACAACGGAAGTCTGTGATGGGAATGAAATCCACGACACCCCACTGGTAATCAGAGCTTTGTCCTTCCAGCCGGATGCCGAGTTGTTTGCGGAGCCAGCTATGGGCGCCATCGCATCCCAGAACATACTTGGCTTCAACGACGGTTTCCAGTCCCGCGATTGCCGAGTCACCCGCAGAAGACGCCACGCTGGTCTCGCTGCCCTCGCTCCTCGGAGAGCTCGCGCCGCTGCCAGACGTTGAATTCATTGGCTTGACAAAATCTGTTGGAGGGATTTTGTCCAGTGTCACGCGGATTGGATAGGTTGCGTGATCCTCAATGGTACTATAATCAATCTCCAAGGTCGTGGGGATGGTCGCTCGTCTGATGTCGAGGTGTTTCGCCGACTGCATAAACTTCAACAAGTGATCCTCGACCCTACCCTGCCGGAGGGTAGATTCATAGAATCTGGACCACCCCGGCTCAGTATTTGCAGAGATCTCCTCTCTTCGGAGGCGACCGTCGACCGAATCACACTGGCGGCATCACATTAGCCCTATGAACTCAAAGGAAAGTCGGCGGATAACTCACCCACAACGCAAGCTCGACCGTGTGGTTCGCTTCAGCCCAAATCTCGTCGGCAAGTCCGAAGCTGTCCAAGATTTCCAATGTCCGGCTTTCTAGTCCATCTGCGCGACCGTCCTGCGTCCCTTGCGGCCTCCGTTCTACCAACAGTGTCCGGACCCCAGTCACGGCCATCCATGCGGCAGCCATCAAACTGAGCAGATTCGCTGTTAGCAGGTCCCATCGTATTTTCCAGCAGAGATAACGAGCAGAGTCACCTACCCTGCCGGTCCGGCACCAAGAATAAGGACGTCTACGCGAAGGTGGTCGCCCATGATGCCCATGTAGGTACCGATGGAAAGCAGTCGGTGTACTGCTGGTTTCTCACATGTCTGTCTATTCCAATAGTACACCTTTCTATTGTATCAAAGCACTATACGTCATGAAGTCATACCCTTGAACAGCGATTTGAATTGACTCTTCGACGTCACCGCATTCCATTCTCTAGCGCATTATTCCACTGCCTACGGAGTATACTACGCCAGTATACTATAACTTAACCCTTATGACGACACGAGTCCTTAGGCTCTCCTTTCTGCGCCGTATTGCTCATTTAATACAGCTCTGGTCGAATTCCACAGCAGACAACGGGCCATAGTCGCCGGAAACGGAAACCCCCACAGTCCGTGAAAAAGCATAATGACACTCGACGGATTATATATTTCGAACATCCGCACAGGCAGCATTAGGAATTTATTTAATCCTATAGCTAAAGCTCCTTACATCAATTGTGCGGCTGTGGTCCTTGATCAAGTATACTGTTCCAGAATGGGTGCAGCTCCAGCGTTCTACAAACCCGAAGGGGAAGTTTTTGTAAGAATCGCCTTCCCTCCCTACCCGCAAGAGCATTATTCATCTGACTGAGATCTTGCTAGTACAATGACGGAAGAGAAGATGCATTACTAAAGTTCATCACCACTCACCCCCAGCAAGCCGAGATCAAAGGCTCGCCCGAGGCCGTGCTCGCCGCGATCGACGACTTCGGGCACTCGCAAGACTTTCTCATGACTGTAGGCGAGTACAAGGGGAAGATTGTCAGCGACCTTATCGCGAAGGAAAAGCCGCAGACTGTGCTGGAGGTCGGTGGGTATGTCGGGTACTCTGCGATCATGTTCGGGGACGCGCTCCGCAAAGCCGGGGGCCAGAAATACGTTAGCCTGGAGATGAACGCCAAGTTTGCGGCCATTGCCAGGGCGCTGGTGGACGTTGCCGGGTTGAGTGGATTCGTGGAGATCGTGGAGGGACCATCTCGCGAGTCTCTTCGGAAGATTGCCGCGAACAGCAAGGGGTCCAAGGCGTGGGATATGATCTTCTTGGACCATTCGAAGATTTCGTACCTGAATGATCTGAAGCTTTGTGAGGAATTGGGTATTGTGGCCCCGGGGTCTATTGTTGTGGCAGACGACATGTATGTCCCGGGCAACCCGCAGTACTCTGAATATGTGAGGGCGCCAGTGCAGTCCAAGGTCGAAGCGAGGAAGCCATTTGTCGGCTGCGTGAGCGATGGTGGATTGTCGTTGGGCAACCCGTATCTTGTCTATGAGTCTACGATCTTCGAGGGACTCCAGCCGAGTGGATTACCAGTGAGGAATTCCCCAACTTACGCCCAAGTTGTTATAATCTGAAGCAGCTAACGTGAGACAGGATGCAGTGGAAGTGTCGTACTGCGTGGACGCTGTTGGTTCTGACTAGACTTGTGTCGCTATCAATCGCTGAGATATATGTTCTACAATACAAGAGCCCTGCTGAGTTTGAGTTGGGCCTTCCATTATACAGGCGGGAACCAGGAGGAGTCAATTATATAATGAGCACGCTGGAGAGGAAAAATGAGAAATAGAAATATTGAGCTTCTGACAGAAAGATCGTAATAGATGTCACTAACTAGACACCGAGAAAATGAAAGAGGGTAAATCAGGCGCTGTACTCCGTACCTTGTGCTGCGATACAGTCGAAAACGACCATGAATTCAACCTAAGCCATTCCCAGGTGGATAATCACTGGAAAGACACAGCTTCCTCGAGGTTGCATCCCTCTGAATACCAAATTCCTGTCTCTGTCCAGCACCGCTTCCTAGGTCGTAGATGTGCTGGATGTAACCCTAAGTCGCCCTTGATCCACGGTTCCCGCAGAGTCTGTTTAACGTTATTCTGATGGTCGGTGGCTGTCAGATAAGAATTACCACCTCTGCATGCAACTGTTATTTTCTTGACTGTCATCACGATCGTGGATATCTGAGACATTCGACGTGGGGATATGTCATGGACTGCTCTGCACATCTACTGGAAGGGCCAACCCCTGTCGGAAGGCACCTGATTAGTATACCGTTTGGAATTTAGATTGCTGCCTCTTGGGTTGATTGCAGAGTTGTTCCTTGTAAGTATTTACAGGAAAATGATTGCCGTGTCAATCGTGGAATAAACCTACCTCGTCAACCAAACTTCAGATATGGATAGCTTTCAGGACGTGTATGGAAACGGCCGTCCCCTATGTCGTAGAGCCTGCGGCGCTCGTTAAATCGACGAAACATGCTTGACAAATCTCAGGTGTCTTGGAACCGTGCAGGATGGTGCCCGCGTCCGAGCTGGATTGCCATGGCTCTCTGGAAGAGTCACGTACTGGCAGAGTGGTTATAACTGACGTGTAGCTTCAAAACTCATCCTAGTTTCTGTTGATTTCAATCTCTCTGACACCGCCGTCGTTCACGTCCGTCGACAAAATGATAGGAGACTTATATCATGTCACACTCAACCTGATTGTTTCGAGTACAAATGGTACGGCGGCTATGACTTTGCTTGTTTGGCGCCGCTTTGGTATAGATCTTTGAAGTGTTGCTCAGCATTGCTCATTACATAACTCGAGTAAGTGTTTAACGTCGGTCTTATTCTTATTTTTAAACACATTGCCCTGATGTAATCTGAGCGTGCCACCGGACTCGGGTACAACCAGAGACAATCAAATGTGCATTGATAAGTAGGCAAATGTCTTGAAAGACTCGCACCTAGTGGGATAGAATTCAAATGTATCACTGCTCCCACATTCATCCTTGAATGAGAGTGAAGTGTTACTGAGCCGCGCCCATGAGACACAGGTTGCTAGCGCCTGAGGTTTGTAGAGGAAATATTGATTGGACAGGTATTCCAGAGAGCTGTAGAAGCTGAGATATAACCAGGAAATAAGGGTCTAAAAATAATTTAAAAAAATGCTAAAATAAAATCTAGTTCATTTTAAATTTGCGCATGTTAGTTTTATTATAAGAAAAGTATATTTTAGTTAAACAAAACATACTTAAACTTATGTTAATCATAAAATTAGTATAATGATTCTAGGGGGGGTACACCGTATGGAGATGTACATCAGCGAGACATGAACTCTCTATAAATACTGGTAACCTTGAACTTCAAGTACTTGGAGATATTGCTCTTATCTCTCAACCGCTTTTGACCGACTTTAACACCTAGCGATACCTGGGTGCCACTCGTTCATTTTGTCTTTGCTCCTCGCGACATCTTAAGCGCCTTTCTTTTCGATTGGACCTGACTACGATCATGAACGAGGGACCAAGTGCAATCATTAGTCATTCTGCACCGACAGGGACCATGCGCATTTAGACAGGGGAGTTAACGCTCGAGCAAGCAGTGATTGGTTTCGGTGCAACGTCTCAAAATGCCATAAACACGGCTATGCAAATCATTCGATATTCGGCTCTACGAGTTGATGGTTCCAAGCCAGCTGCCGCTTGGGGATATCAGCGGCAATGTCGGCCCTGCTTACGCTAGCCCCAGAGGTTCTTCTATAAGAATGGGACTGCTTCCGATGTCGATATCCAATTCTCTAAGAACCTTCAAACAGCGCTCCAAGATCACACAAGTAGCCGTAAGTAAGTTCCGGTTGGAAGCCTCTCTGCTAGTCCACTCATACTCTGTCTGCAGTATCATCACTGTCCCGTCCTATATATTCCCACATACGCTACGCAGCCTTCTGCCTCGAGATGTCGAACGTTGGAATTTATGTGGCCATATTCAAAGGTGGCGGTATTTACAAGCATTGGGCTCTTTTCATTGACGAGCCCCAAGCGGACGAAACCCTGCTCCAGGTCAAGGGATCCGATGGCCGATTTCGTTATGAAGCCGAGAAAAGAGATGCCCGGAATTCGCAAAGCCTAGTGGAGCTAGTCTACCTTTGCGATGTGGATGTCGCTAAAGCCAACAGGATCAGGGATGTTGCGAGGAAAATCCCCGTTCATAATGAGATCTCAGGTTGGAATTGCCAAGACTATGTGCTTGATCTCTTGAACGCATTGGAGAATGACGGAGTCTTGAACAGCGACGACGCAGATTATACGGAGCAGAAGTCCTACGTTGAGGGAAAGCAAGAAGGACTGGCATAAATACTCTTTTTGATCTGCCTGTTATTTGTGAAGCTGGATTGATTTCTTCGGATTTTCGTGAAGCCGACTACCCATATTAGGCACTTAACTGAGTGCATGGTACCCGTCCGATCTATTGTCAGAAAGTTGTCGTTATAGCTGAAATCGAACTTTCAAGTGATATTCATTGAGTGGCGTGCCGTAGGTAAAGGGGAATAAGATAGTCATTCAAACGGCAGAGACAGTATGGTGTCTAGCTGGTTTGCACGTGGAGGTACCAGAGACGATGAACAAGCCAATGTATAGGAAACCGTAAAGGGGAAATGCTCCCTGGCAAATAGGAATACCAGTCATTCTCCTCCGTCAGGCTCAATGTTCCTGTTAACTGAGTACATTCATAGTACTTTGGATAAAACCCGCTATCTTCCCAGTCAATAATGCCGGTCACCACACAGGCATTGTTGTGATCCCGTTTCACTATGATATTATCAGTTCTGACATCGCCATGAGCGAAGACAGATCCCTGATCAGGATCTGTAAGGAAAGAATGGAGGAATTTGACATATGTTTTACTGCCATGATGGGGAGTAGTGCATTCGAGATCCTCATATCCAGGAGGTACGCTGAGTATTGATCTGTCTGTGTGTTCCATGACTCTTTTTCCTTCAACGCATTCCAAATAGTAATCATCTTTTTGAAGCGTCCTCAATTGGCAGAAGATGCCATCCAGCTGACGCTGCACAGACACCTTGTCTTGATGTGTGAGGGTAGGCCATGCCTCAGTTAACGTCATAGACGGGATGTAAGTCATAAAAATAACGCAAAGGAGCCCAATTCTGATTAAGCCATGAGGCCTTGGAACAGGAATATCCGGTGCCCGTTCAGCAAGGTACTGCAGAGTCGTGTACTCTGTATAGTCACCGCTCGTTACGACAACTTTTGCGACGAGGTCGTCATCACACTTAACGACAACACCCCTTACAGGATTTTCCCATAGCTTTTGGGAACTCCAGAGCAGTTGTCGCAAGGGTCCAAGTAGCGCGTGCCCTGCGTCCGTTGGCTGTGCATCTGACTCGCAGAATCGTTTCAACAGGGTCGCTACGTTCTGAGATAGTGGAAAAACAACTGTAGGTGTCTCCGCAGTATCCAGACGCGTGCGAAAGTCTGGAGGGCTTGGTGGTTTTGTCACCTTGCGCTCCAACGGGTTGATCGAAGACTGGGCCGCGAGTCGATAACGCCGACCATAGTTTGGAGGGAAAACCGACAGTAAGTTGATCTCAGGATCTTTCCTTAGGAAGACGTTGAGCACATTCAAGGTCCTTTGGTTAAGCATAGCTGTACTTGTTTTCGGACTTTTAAATTGTGATTCTTGATGCTTCTGGCGATAGGAGTCAGGGATGAGTGCCATCAAATCGGCCGCTGGATTTCTCTTAAGCGCCGATTCGAATTTTTGCATCAGCTCCCGGTTACGCTCCACTGCGTCGGCACAAGGCAGCGAGCTAAGAGTTTCTGTAGTCATGCCTGTATCGCCCATGTTCACTGAGAAGTAAATTGGGCTCCAAAGCTTTCGAAATGAGCGATCACAAAAAAAGCTGAGTTTCACCCTGATTAGATTGAATTCTCATTTTTGCTAGAGCAGATGGACTTTCTCCAGACAGAATTGGTAGGAAAAGGGAAGGGAGGGAGACAAAAGTGGAAGAATCGTGAGTTGGAAGAGGGAATGGTGGATAGTATCCGTGCCTTAGGCGCACCCTCACCGCTCCGTGATGACATGCCATTTAATAAAGCTAAAGGCATCAGTCTGGGTTTCCTGTTATGCTTAAGGCCAATGTTATTAAGTTCTAATATATTCTGCTTAGAAGCATTAATAGTGTCTATTTAAATAAAGCCCTTTTCTACCCTTTATTCATTCATCTATAGGGAACAGCCAATCTACTTTCCTTTAGAATTATTTATGTATCTCAACATGTCTATTAACACTAGTCTTATTATCATATCTATTCCTTTAGAAATTGACTGCTAGTCTTTCAGCATTGTATGCTGGCAGAACTTCATATGTACCCAGGCTTTTAAGTACTGGTGCTTCCGAGATTGTAGAGATGCTGATCATGTAGTCCATTAGAATATGAGCTAGTATTCTAGGTTCCTGGCCTCTTAGGGGCTAAAGCATAGCCTCTAAAATGATTGGCCATGAGGGTCTGCATATTGGTGTATATGGTCGAAGAAAGGACTTCTAGGTATATGCATCTTAACCCTTGGTCACCTATATATATCAGTAGTGTTCAGATTTAGATTCGCTCCAGGTATGCCACCCTAACCAATCCAATCCAAACTGTGGCCACTACCAGCATTTTGAAAGTGTCTATTCTACTCTCCAGCACATTATCTAATTCCTCTTCAGATGGCTAGACCATTTTCTATTCAACTTGATGGTTCAAGATGCCGGGTCACGTGCCATTTAGAGACTCCCAGACGTCAACTCACGCCCTACCGAGCCCCATATACATCAAATACCTTGCAACAAGGGGGCGAAGGTAAATCTAACCCCTTCCAGTGATGACGTTGTGGTGGGTAAATTACTTTTTACTGCCTGATCATTTACTGAGACACACTTCTTCCAGCAATGGGCTTCATGGTCAGGTTGCGAAATTCATTCTCGGCCCATCAACAGAGCTCTATATGTCAGCTGTATCTTCAACAAACACCGTCCTCACTTGGATTCAGGTCGACTATAGCTTTCAAGAACTTCTCATCCAGCGCTAACTCTGCTTCACTCCCCTTCAAATACGTACTGATCGAAGAAGTCGAAAGACTTGAAAAGTACCAGCCTGGTGGATATCACCCTATAATGATAGACGATGTCCTTCAATCCCGATACCGAGTAGCCCACAAGCTGGGCTACGGAACATACTCAACTACCTGGCTGTGCCGGGACTGCCAGACTAATAAATATGTGGCAGTCAAGGTCGGAACGGCCGAGTCAAACAGTCGAGAGGCTGACGTCCTCGACTATCTCAACCATTCGTCCCCACTTGATTACCCAGGCAGGGCAATGATACCCTCTGTTCAAGACAGATTCGTCCTCCACGGCCCTAATGGCCACCACCCTTGCTACGTGACAGCCCTAGCAATGTGCAGTGTGTCTGGTGCGAAGGACGCATCATATAAACGCATCTTTCAGGCCAAGACAGCTCGTTCACTTATCGTGCAGCTCGTATTAGCTGTTGAGTGCATTCACAGTAAAGGAGTTGTCCATGGAGGTTGGTCTTTGTATTCTGTAGTTTCACAACCATATGCTAATACCTACATCAGATCTTCACACCGGCAATGTCCTTCTGCGTCTCCCGGCCGATTTTGATCAACTCTCAATTGAGCAGCTATACGAAAGATACGGTTCACCTGCGCCAGAGCCAGTTGTTCGGCTTGATGGTAAACCCCTTGAGTCTAGCATTCCAGTTAGCGTCGTTCCTCCGATCTGGCTTGGAAAAGCTTCAGAGCAACTTACCACCTCAGAATCTAACGTCTTGCTGAGCGATTTCGGAGAGGCATACAGACCATTAAACGAGCATAGGTGTAGCTCACACGCTCCCTTGTCCTTTGTTCCGCCTGAAGCCCGATTCGAGCCAGAACAGGGCCTTTCCTTCCCAGCTGACATCTGGAGTCTCGCATGTTCCATATGGATAATACTTGGCCAGCGTCCCTTGTTTGAGGACATCCTTGCCACACCGGACGACATCACTGCGGAGCAGGTTGATACTCTAGGAAATCTACCTCTACGGTGGTGGAAGAAATGGGAAGCGAGACACGAATATTTTGATGAGAGTGGACAACCAAAGCAGGGTCGACAGGTGAGGTCTTGGGATGACCGCTTTGAAAACCACATTCAATTCCCACGACAGAAGGCTGGAATTCCGGGGTTTGATGTAGAGGAGAAAGCTGCTGTTATGGATATGCTGCGGTCGATGCTGTCGTTCGAGCCAAAGAAGCGGTTAACCGCACACGACGTCCTGAAATGTGAGTGGATGGAGAAGTGGGCATTGCCGGACTTTGAGAAATTTCACTCCTGGGAGCATGGGGGTTGCGAAAAGTTAGCATAATTTTCATTCCTCTTAGACGTGCTGTATGTTGAGGACATGAAGCAACATCATGATGATGATGATTGAAGCTGTCCAATTCTACCAAATAGGAAGGAGGAACGCTTGGCCAGCATTAGCAGTTGCTGCTTGGCGATGATTAGCGTGAGTGCATTATATCTTTTAGTTTACTACTGGGTTATGATAGACCATATAGATCAAGTATTTACAGCTGTTATTCACGCAGGAAGGGCCAAACCACCTAAACCTTATTAAGTCCATCTATATCTTTATAAGACAGATCTAGGGCTCCCAGCTAAACACAAATCCATTAAGCAAAATATAATTTATTTAGAGTAGGACTAAAGCCCACTAGATAATTATATAGTTATTCTAGTAAGAGCAATGACCCTAGGTGACTGTGTATTAATATTCTACTTTAGTAACAGTGCTCTAAATATTTAATAGCTATGCCCAACTGTACGCAAGCTTGGAACACTGATAAGTCGCCATCTCTAAGTAGTAATTATTTATTTTTTAACATGGTTGACCGCTGAGCTTTGGCCATAGAGTAGGACCAATCAATATAGGTTCACCAAGTCCAGTGCCTAAAGGGGATATCATTAATACATGAGCAGTAAGTCTCCTTGCCTTTGGTCTTCTCTGGTGCAACGCACTCTCCGCGATCAAAGTTACGGCGTTGGCACTATATATGTCAGCTTCATCCGAGATAGGACACGTATACCATAGGCAACAAACGTGATGGTTACACTCTTGTGGATCATCCGGACAGCCATGGTGGCCGCCACCATGATGATTCCCGCCGTGGTCTTTGTGATGGTCCAGGTTGATTGCAAGTGCCTGTTCCAGGGAGATGGCGGCGGCCAGAGGGACAGGGTGATGATAGAGAGCAGCTTAATAAGGTTTATATTACTAGTAGAGAGGGAGGTGGTTGAGAAGGTTGCTTAATCTAAATAGGGTTGGACTACTATTGTGGCTGAGTGGTGGTCATGATGACATGTGCATGATGGAGATGGATGTCATGATGTTTGTATATGACCACGAATAAGGCATACCTATAGTGCGAGTTAAAAGACTGATCCATGGTAGAGATACAGTATACATCTATCGCTTAAGGAGCAACTCTATGCACGAGTTCCATGGACATCTTCCGCTACCTCGCTGAACCGAGGTGCTGCACTCTTTCTGGCCGGTAGCCATTCAATTATACAAGCTTCCAAGACCGCTTCTCGTTACTTCTAAAGCTTTTTATGTAGCTCGTCCCCCAGTTGATCCACCCATGGCAACTTCCCCTCGGCGAAATCTCACCCCCAGGCGGCATCCTCTGCCCTCCGTCCAAGAGGATCGTGCGGACAATGATCTTGTCTCCCATGACGACCTGGTGATGGTAGATGTGCGACGTGCACCGGGGACAAAAGTAGCAGTGGACGGAGGCTCCGGTGTATGTGTAGCACTGCGGGGTGCCAGTGAGGATCCGCAGTTGGTCCTTGAGAGTATCAGCACAGCGCAATGTAATGGATTATGAGCGTTGGCTTCTTGGAACTTGGAAGGTTCTACCCACCCGAGGGATAATCTGATTCATGGAAAATGGCCCACCCCCCAGCTTTCGACATGTCTCGCAGTGACAAAGGATGTGTGAGGGCTCGCTGATCTCCGCGGTCCACGTACAGGTGCCGCAGTGACAGCTACCGTTGAAGGTGCCCGCGTTGACACTGGGCTTGGTAGCACCAGGGCCAAAGAGAACGCCGTCTTTGATGTCTAGGTACGCTATTAGTGGTTATTTCCTGCAAAGTATTCTACACCAACCGACGACAACCGAGTCCTCACTATCCACACATCAGCTCTATATTCAGATACGGGGTCAAAAACACATACATCATGGGCGCTGCATCCTTGGAGAATTGGAGATGCACTGGATCCTGCGTCAAGTAATAATCAAGATCGTCCTGATTCTCAAACTCCAGCACAAATCCGTGCGTCAGTCCTTTGCTGAAGTTTTCCCAGCTTCGGTTCTTGCCTGCACATGGTCAGTGGCGTGTGGCTGCAGACAAAGGTGCAGCATTTTTGACAGACCAGCTTTCATGCTCTTCATGTACGGTCGACCGGTATCTGGCTTGACGCATTTGTGCTGAAGGGCTAGGAAGACCTCAAAATGTCTCTCAAATTCGCTCCATGTGATGGAGGGTTTGTACTTAAAGAGGATGATGTGGGTGATTGTTTCAGACATTTGAGCGACTGTAGTTAAGAATCGCCATAATCTGGCAGATAGCGAACAGTCTTTATATCATCTCCAACTACAATAGTCAATCTTGACATCTATCCTGCTTGTATATCCCACGCGGGTTTCGTGTACCTTTTCACGGGGATTGACATCCGGGGACTGATTGGGACAATCTGATTGGCTACAAGTGTATTCCATTCAAAAAAGGCAATTTAGCCCGCTCTTGCTTGGCCTTTGCGAGACATTTTCCCTATAACGACCAACGATCATTAGGAGAGCGTTTCATTCTTGAGTGGAGGTCTTGTGTCTAATGACGATCTAATAGAAAAGTCCCGCCTCTACCCTGAAACTCAACCCTCGGTCTTCATCTTCAAACTGTCCACGATAGACTCCGACGGCTGCCCATTCGGCACAATCGGGACATGTCAGCCATTTTTCCACTACGCCAAAAAGGTGTGTCTAGACGACCATTTCTAGCATAGTAGAAATGATAGGCATATTCTGGTTGACACCATGGTACTTACAAACTGCAACATTATATGGAGCTCGTACCTAATGATATGTACAAACGGTCCCTATAGGGCTAGAAAGTACATTGGGTTTGTCCCTCCTAGCCATGATTCGGTGGTTACAGACTTTCTGGTTCAAAGATTATCAAATAATCGTTGAAACCCGCCGAACTCAGTTTATAAATATTCTCGTCCGAAGATTGATCAGTGCTCAAATCAAACGTCTTTGCGTAATGGCACGTAGGCAAGCTCAACGTGATACTGCTTCATGAAACAACTGGTCCTAGTGCAGATGGCACTGAGTCTGCTGTGGTATAGCCGGCGCGATCGTTCAGTAGTGTGGAAACAAGATGAACAGTTTTCAAGGGTTTCTGAGCCAATACTCATTGTGGTATATTGTGTTCCTCTAGCTAGATTACCTTCTGTGTGCTCAATAACTCTCCACAAAGCCTTTGTTATTTTCTCAGACATTGGATTTCTAGGATTATATCGTTAAGAGTGATTCTTCAGGCATTAAGGATAAAGCAGATGTCTTGCAAGTATAGCAGTTCTCTAATAATTATTGACGCACTATATTGAAGAAAGGTGACAATGCGCGTGTCGTGTTGTGTAGGAATATATTCGGCATTTGCCCCGAGAGCGGCATACAGAGACGGAGGACTGCCGAGCCGGTGCTCGGCCGAGATGCGGGGAAACGTGGGGTTAATATTATTTCATTGAAAGAGACAATGGCAAAGACAAGGTATATTGCAAGTCTGAATCATAATATGCATAGCATTAAACAGCCTTCCCCGTAGAACCCAGCATATCCATACACCTCTCCACAGCCTTCTGCATCTCATTCGTCGCCTCCTCCAGCACAGCCGTCAAGGGCGCCCGCCCCGATTTCTCGCGCTGCACCCGCACATACTCATTATTCAACACCTTGTTGATATTCACCTTGGACACCCCACACTCAATGCACTTGGCAAAGATCTCCGGCGTGAACGGATCCGCCCCATGCAGCACAAGCTTGACCCTGTCCCCAACCGCCTCCTGAATGCTCTTCAACCGCTCATACTCCAGCCGGATCCCCCGCGGCCCATACTCGCCATGCACATTCCCAAACGCAGGAGCCAGCCAGTCAATCCCCGTATCTGCAAACTCGCGGCTTTCTTCAGGAGTCGTCAGCAATCCGTCCAGGTCAGCCGTGTCGGCAACCCCGTCCTCCCCGCCCTCGATCCGGCCGGGCTCCGCCTCCGTGGCGATCCCGCGCTCGTGGCAGTACGCCACCAGTTCCCGCGTCAGCCGCAGGTTTTCTTCTTTCTCGTAGTGGCTCATGTCCACCATGATGCTGTCGAAGCCGCCTAGGTCTGCCGCGTAGCGGATGATCTCGGGGGTTTGCGCGTGGTCCATGTGTACGGCGACGGGCACGGACGCCTTGCGAGCTGCTTCGGCGGCGGCGTGCACGAGCAGGCCGTCGGCGTAGTGGATGGCCCAGGGGAAGAGTAGGATCATGGCTGGGGAGCGCTTGGCTTCCGCGGCGCGGACGGTGGCCAGGATGCCTTCGAGATTGTAGCAGCACATGGCGGGCACGCCGTAGTGGTTTGAGGCGGCGTGGTCGAGGATGGAGAGGGCGCGGTTGGAGGCCATTTTGGAGGCCATTTTTGCAGTAGCAATTGGTGAAAATGAGGAAGGAAGATGGAGAAAGGATTTCAGTACAGAATTGTAGGTTCAATAGGGGTATATGGCTTTATATATACGGGTTGTTTACTTTGGAGGATAACTCCCCCACTCTCTGCACGGAGTTGGTCCGACTGACGTCAAAGCGCATTTGGCATCCCGTGCATTTCAAGGGTTAATTGAAGAATTAATTGAAGGCATTACATAGAGACGCTATACAGTTACTGGCCAAACATTTTGATCACGCTCGTGCTCGCTTCCCCTCCGAGTCCGTGTCTCCTTGCCATCAGCAACTTTTCCAACGCCGCATTCCCCAGATGTAGCGGGCAATGCAGGTCCCTCGCCTTTTGCACCACCTTCTCCATCTGTGCTACGGCTTCATCGAGCGTCTGTGACCCTTCTGGCGCCTTGTCCCCGAGCTTCCCCTCAATCATCTCTAATCCCTTGTGGATAAACACTTTGCTTGCACCAGCCGCGTCGCTGACTAGTCGGTGGAACATCGCGAGATCAACGTTGAGATACCGCGCAAACGCAATAGCCTCTGCGGCTGCCACAAGGTTGACTCCCAACATCAGATCGAGGACGAGCTGGAGGGCAGCAGAGGGATCCTC